TATTCGATTGTCAGCCTTGCTTTAACAGCTCCACATCCTTGCAGACCAGTGTCCATTGCTAAAATATTTCATTTTTGGTTTCGTGGTGGCATCTTGAGCTCCCTGTATCAAACCTTCCATGGGAACAGGGCAGCATGTACAGGCGTTCCATGGTCTCACCTCATCACCTCAGCTTTTCTAATTGGGAAACTTTCCTGGATAAGCAAGCTCGATTTTCCAGCAGAGCTCAGGGATGCTGAGTAACCATTTCTCCTTAAAATGAAGGGGGAGCTTTGTAACCACTTCTCTCAGGCTCCGCTGAAAATTCCAGCTATTATACCCTGGAGAACACTGCAAGCACTCGCACGACCAGCAATTCTTCTGAAGCTTTTTCTTTTGCCTAATCACAAACATATGGTACACTTTAGGGGAGATTATCCTTACATTGTTAGCTTTAAAATGCAGCTTTCTTCCAGCTTTCCAAGGTCACAGCAGCTATCCAGTTAAACGCTAGGGCAGAAATAAAACGTTAACGCAGCATGACCTTGGTCAATCAGTTAATCTTTCTCTACCCTATTTACTCCAGCAATATAAAAATCCATCCCTACACACTGCAGAGTGCTTTGAGATCCTGGGGTGAAAGGTACATCATAAGCCAGAGTATTAATTATTGAAGCCCTGATAGTGTGCGTGGTGCTGGAGGGAATGCAGATGAATTTACTCTCCGTGTCTGTGTTTGTGCCGCACGTCCGTCGGTCACGGGGCTGCAGCCACCAGTGAGACCCCAGGCCCTGCACCACTGAGAGGTGTGGGAGGGCCCCAGCAGCAACAGTGCTGCTGCTCCAGGGAGTAAGAATGGAATAAACACCTTTGTCAGCATTTGATGTAGAGCTCCTCATTAGTTAATTAATTAATAAAGGTCAGAGCAGCCAGCTCTGAGGCACAGGGCCCGCTGTCACCCCAGCTTGTCACCCACAGAACGGTGTGTGGGTACGTGTGGTAACGCGAGGGGGCCAAGGCTCCTGCCTCTTGTTCCCTGTTGCTATTCAGTCCTTGAGGTTTGTGGGAAAACCTAATCTGAAATTACTCACAAATGGGTTTTCTGGCTGTTACATTAAGCTGGATTACGTGGCATAGACCATTGATTTTTAGATTTGAGAGTGCTGAATAATTTATATGCACATTGCCTTCTAACCCAGACTGTGGCTGTTTGATGGCTCTGGCCCTTCCTAGAGCAGACCCAGACAATGGCAGTGGTAGGATATAGCCAAACTTCCAACTCTCTTACTTTTCAGTGTCTGCTTTAAAAAAAGGGGATTGATTCTACCATTGTTTTGTTATTGAGGTTTTATTTTATAGTGTCCAGTAGTGCTATCCCACTGTAAGCACAAAGCTTTATTGTAGAGCTGCTGTTCCTTAAAACCAGCTTTTGCTATCCTTCCATTTTAATATGGCCATATATTATGATATTGAAATGATCGATACAAGCATGAGTACACAGAGAAAGAAAGGGAAAATTGTCTTTTTATGAACCATGCAGCTGTTTATCATAAATCTAAACAAAACTCTTTTTCAGAACTTTTGTCAAATTGAATTGGCTTGTGCCATCCAAACACCTATTGTCACACATGTGTATTGTAGAATACATTTAAAAATAAAAGAGCATGTTGGCACAGAAGTTATTTAGCTGGTGTTTGCACTGTCCTTGTGCAGATACTCCACTTCTGAAGAGCTTAATACACTCTTGTGTGAATTTAAGTCTTGTTCAGATGTTGATGATAGGTTTGTAATTTCTCTAATAACTTCATTTTATTTTTAATATTCTGCATCTTTACTGACTGTAGCAAACAGAGTGGAATGTGTCAATTTTCCTCTTGAGCTGGGTCAGCTTTCGTTAACTCATCAAAGGCAAGAAACATCTATTAAGTGTTCTTTTGCTGAGTCCTCAATTTGAATGAACTTGCAGGGAGCAGCAAATATTTTTCTCCCATTTTCTGTAGCCCAGTTCCTCAGAGGTCGCAGCTACCCCAGAGAGCAGCCTGACAGCTGAGGAACACTGCTCCAGACAAGTCCAAATGCCACTGTAATTATAATAGCCCTGTAATAATCTCCCCTAAATACACCAGCCTCCATCCATCAAATGGCTGATCCTCTGTATGAAACCCCTCAGGAACTGGAATCACACCATGCTGGTACCAAACTGCTCCATGCCTTCATCAAGGCAGTGCATTATCCTCACACAGTCAGGTATTGACCCCATGTCTGAGGCTGATGTTTGCAGTGGGGTTTTTGACAGGGATTGCTCAGGGCTGGGGATGGATGGCTGCTCGTGGTGCTTTGCACCCTGCCCCCAGCAGCCCTGCTTGCCCTTGGGTGCACAGAGATGGAGACAGGGATCCCGGGCAGGGATGGCAGGGCCAGGCTGAGGCCAGTTCTGCAGCGCAGGGCCTCGAGCGAGGTCAGCCTCTTCACTGAGGGGAACCACGGGGCATCCTGTCCAGCAGCAGCACCAGCTCTGTGTGTGGGTGCCTAGCTTAGAAAATTCAGGCCTGTTTTACATTGCACATCCCTCTCCATGGTCCAGGTGGATGAGGTTCACCCATCCAAACTCTCATATCCTTAACTTGCCTGTTTCTCCAGCGTGTTCTGTTTTGGTTGGGTTGGTTTTATTTTAGTTGCAGACTTGCACAGCTCTTAGTGGGGCTGCATTAAAGACAAGGACTGGTGTGATGTGTACAGATCTCGCAAATGCTGCACGAGATAGAAACTGCTCTCCCTCCACAGATGGGTTTGGGCCGGGAGGGACCTCAAAGCTCATCCAGTTCCACCCTCTGCCATGGGCAGAGACACCTTCCACTATCCTAGGTTGCTCCAAACCCTGTCCAACCTGGTCTTGGACACTCCCAGGCAGCCACAGCTTCTGTGGACAACCTGTGCCAGAGCCTCACCATCCTTAGAGGGAAGAATTTCTTCCCAATATCCCATCAAACCCTGCAGGAATTGCTGCAGGAAGGTCAGGACAGCACCAAAAGTGATCGCCGGGCTGGAGGATCCATCTAGAAATGTTTGCTGGATTGAAATGATATTGTTCTTTGAAACAGAAACAGCAGAACCCCTTTCTTTCATGACGCTCATTGCCATTGCTCATTAGCTGTTGCAGCTAATTATCGCCCGCTCGCTGGGCTGCGAGTTTAATACCGGCGTTTTGGGAAGCTCCGCAAACACCCCACGCGGTTTGCGCACTCCAGCTGTGCCGCTGCTGCCGGGATCGCTGCGGGATCGGGGCCGGGATGCGGCGGGATCGCTGCGGGATCGGGGCCGGGATGCGGCGGGATCGCTGCGGGATCGGGGCCGGGATGCGGCGGGATCGCTGCGGGATCGGGGCCGGGATGCGGCGGCGCGGAGCCCCCTCTGCCGGCGGCTGCCGGACCTGCCGGGCTCGGCGGCCCCGGGGCTCGGGGCGAGCGGCGCCCCCGGACACCGACCCCGGACACAGACCCCAGATACCGACCCCGAACACCGACCCCGGACACAGACCCCGAGCACCGACCCCGGACACAGACCCCAGATACCGACCCCGGACACAGACCCCGAGCACCGACCCCAAACACCGACCCCAAACACCGACCCCGAACACAGACCCCGAGCACCGACCCCAAACACCGAGCCCGGACACCGACCCCGGGCGGGGGAACAGAGCGATCCCGAGGGTTCGTCTGCGCAGCAGAGCCCGCTCGGATCAAAGCGCTCGGCAGCTGTCGTGTCCAGGGTTCATCACTTGGCACGGGTTTTAGTGCAGGTAAAGGGTGACTCGAAGCCACGCAGAGGCCAATCCAGTTCTCCGCGGACAAGGCTCGGGTTTTTCTGCGTATTTTGTGGATTAAATTGTCTCGTTCCGAGCAGATATTTTTTCACAGACCATCATTTGCAGCGGCCTGGGATGATGTGTTCAGTGTTCATGTCTGGGTCAGCCATTGCTCCAAACCTGGGAGACCTCAGCATGCAGCCTATGGACTTTGGATGGACCTTTCCCTCCCCCTGTTCCTCAGCAGTTCCAGCAGCAGGTTCTGCAGCTGACTGCAGTCCATTCCCGTGGCACGGAGGTTCCCTGCACCGTTGCAAACAACACAGGGTCAGGTTCTTACCTGCTGAGAGACCAGCACGGCTGATACCGCCTGGCACTTCCACATGGGCCACATCCAGAACTCAAACCCGGACCCGAGCACATGCTTGGGTTGCACATGTGAAGACCACAGGCTTCTGCAGCGTGCCCTGAAAAGCCAGCCCGAGGTGTGAGCCCCAGGAGCCCAACAAGCATTTGGGAATCCCAGGGGAGCTCTTCAGTCACGTTCCTTGGGCCCATCTCTCTAAGGCTCGTCTGTAGCAGCATGTGCCCTCCTAGTAGAAATATAATGAATTATGAATTATTGGCATAGTAAAAACTGTCCTTATGTCATGCTGAAGTTACTGGACCAGTACAGGGATTAGTGGGTAAAACCAGGAGGAATCTGGAGAGTTAGAGGCCTTGTGATTCCAGTGTCGGCATTCCCGGCGCTGCCCGAGGGTGGGTGTCAGGTGCTGCTGCAGAGAAACGGGAGTTTTCAGCCATATCAGCAGACCTGTGGGACCCATTCATCACACACATCCTGCTTAACCACTCTCCATGATTAAATATTTACAATAAGAATTTCTTCATCATTAAAACCCTAAATAAAAGGATTACAGAGAAAGTCAGAATAGTTCAGTAGGAAACAGCACTAATTATTTTCACCCTTGTGGGTTTTTCTGCATTCAGTACTTGAATTTCAAAATGAAAATATTGAGATAAACTCCCGCTTTCATGTTAGCACAGTTGGGGGGATTTCTTATTTGGTGTGAAGCTTGAAAAGGGAAAATTAACACTCATTTAATCATTTACATTCAGTCATAATTTAGGCCCTGAGCAACAAAGCATTTAAGCAGGAGATACAAATTTAGGCAGTCACGTATTCCAGTGACTCCAGATGGATTATTCAGTGGCCTGAAGTGAAAAGTTGTTTATTCAGAGTAGGGGAAGTGCAAAATTCCCATGTGCTGGAAGCTGAGTCGTGGATCCCAACTGGGGCAGATGGATACTGGGAGTTTTTGATCCGGGGTACAGAACACAGAGCTCAGTCCCCTCACGGCCACCAGCGCTGGTGGGGATCCCTGGTTCACAGGGACTTTGTGACCTAAAGTCAGGAAATTAATGAGAGTCATTTCTGAGCTCGGGAAAGTCACAGAGATGAATATTGCCAGAAAGCTGAACCCACTGCCGGTCGAGGGCCACAGAAATCCCGAGGATGGTTGGAGCACGGAGGAGCTGTTTGCTGCACAGCCAGAAAGGAAACAAGCAGCAGAGCAGGAAGGGATTGTCAGGTCTCCAGCACTACTGCAGTTATTCTTCCACATCTGCACAGCTGAAGTGGGTTTTGCTTAAACATCCATCACGTCCCTATTATAGGATATGTGTAGGATATTAGGTGATCCTTGTGGCGTTGTAAGACAGGGTCATCCTCAAATGGCAATTTTCATCTCCTTTCAAATCTTGTCTGTTTTTTGGGGGGAGAAGGGCAGATATAAGGAAAGATGATGAATGCCATAACCACTGCTGGTTTTTCCTGCACTGTCTATATATGAATATCATCATCATGATCTTATATAAATAAATCTAAGCCCATTCAAACTTTATAAAATGCCATCAATAACCCTGAAAACAAAGAAAGGCATTTACTGAGTACAACAGCCCAGCTCTGTGATTAAGGTACTATCCAAATTCACCGCTCGGAGTGTTTCAGAGGGATTTCCTTTGGGCTCAACTACAGCCACAAAATAGTAGAGATCAATATCTGTACCATCCAATGAGTATCATTGGATGAGTATCATGAGTATCATCCAATGCCATCTAAAGGACTGACTAAACAGGAAATAATACACAGATAAGAAGATAAAATGCCCTTGGCATTTCCTCAAAACAGGTAAAAAGACTCACCTCTCAACCTATATATGCTTGTGAGGAGACAAAAGGTATGAATTCTTATAAGTTACATCTAATCTTTAGAAAAGATGAAAAAAACATTAGTCAGGATTTGACTGAAAGTTTTAGAACCACAGATGGAAACTGAAGAGGCTCCTGGCCCCCCAGCACAGGGCTGGACATGGGCAGCTCCAGCAGTGCCACCAGAGTACCACCTGCAGTGCCATCTGCTCAGGAGCCACAGGAGCCTGCTCTCCCTGGGAAGCGACTCCTGCCTGTGGGTTGTTGTCAGGAGTAGCCCAGGTGAGGAAGAGCAGTGTAACCCCAGCAGAGTCCCCGAGGCTGGGCGGCCTGAGGGGAAGGACAGCTCCGACTTCAGAGCCAGCCCCTCTGCCCCTCGGTGCCCCCAGCCCCTGAGGGCTGTGTCTGCCAGGGTTGTGGAGGTAGCCCAGTGCCTGCTCTTCCCTCGTGTGGGCTTAACAGGATAGAAATTGGACCTCTTGGTACTTCTGGCACATATGCAAAGTTTTAAACGCTGTCCCTAAAATGTTCACGAAGTCAACCCAGGCAATCTAAGTGTTCTGGTTTATTGCTGTCCCCAGTAACAGGGTCAAATGATTCAGCAAAAACCTCTCCATGTAATCCTACAGAGGTAGATGAATACACAGTTGATGGATTTTGGATGTGTACCCAAGCTGCTGCATTGGCCAGGTCCAAAAACTTGCAATAAATAAATTTAATCAGGAAATATCACTCTGATATGAATGTTTAATGGCACTGATTTATACTTTGAGCTGCCAAAGCCAGGAGCCAGCTTAGCAGTTGAGAGCCCACAGAGCTCAAGGTTTCAAAACAAGCAACTCTCCTTGGAGATTAGTGTTGCAAAAGATGCAAGCAGGCAGGAAAAGGAATGTTTTGCCTCCTGCTAAGCTATTCAAATGTACCTGAAAACGTTTCTTTCAAAAGCTGTGTTTGATCAAGTACCCTCCATTAGAGCACTGCCTCTTGTATGGCCCATATACTCCTCTAGTGACTCCTTTTTTCTTTCTATTGTTTTGTCTCACCCACTAAAACCCGAGAGTCTGTGGTCCCTGCAGGGGCACAGAGCCAGGAGGTCTCTGCTGGGCTGTAACGTCCCGGGCAGGTCCCGTGGTAAGCAGTGCAGTTTGTACAGCAGGTTTGATGGCAGAATAGCAATTCCTTCTTCAGTCTGAGTCCGTCTGGAGAGCACAGTAAGCCCAGGTGGTTTGTAGGATTACACACAGAGAGAGGTGGTTGGAGAAGGAACGAACAGGCTCCCCAGGGCAGTGGTCACAGCACTGACAGAGTTCAAGAAGCATTTGGATGATACTCAGGCACTGCAGGGCTAAGGTATGGACTCCATGACCCTTGTGGGTCCCTTCCAGCTCAGGATATTCTGTGGTTCTGTGATTCTGTAGGTCTGTGGTTCTGTGATCAGATAAACACTGCAAATGTCACTGTACCTGGCTGGAAGGTGATCTCCCCCAGCCACGCATCACATCACCTTGTGGGGATGTCCTGCCTTTTGAAGTGCCAGCTGCCCAGTGTAAGCCCTGCAGAGTGACAGCCCTGCAGCAGGCACAGCACAGCCAGCACAGGGGCTCTGCTGCTGCTCTCCAGCTGTGTTTGCCAGGTGCTGAGCCATCCTTGCCTCCTCTGCTGGGATCAGCATGATTTTTGGATGTAACATATACACGCACACACAACACATGCAAATTATACCTGAATACATCCAGGTTACAAAGGGAAGAACTTGTGAGATGTCAGGTTTGGTCCGCCCCAAAGAGCTCTGTCTGAGCTCCCTAAGGCCACGTGCACTGTGTGATTCACGGTGCCCACGGTGCTGTTCCACAGGCTGAGCTCAGCACACAGCCCGGGCAGTGCTCTGGGGAACCAGGCTGGCTGATGGAAGCCATTCCTGGTGCTAAAACTTCTTCATTCATTGCAGGGAGGAATGAGTGAGGTGGTTTGCAGAGAAGATGGATGAGTGGAAAGCAGCTGAGAAATTCCATGAGAAATGAAGCTCGTCCCTCCATGCCTGAAGGTACCAGGTGAGTTACTGTGGCCAGGCTTTATCCACATCTACATCTTATCTACCTCTTCTGCTCATGCATTGTGATGATACTCTCATTATGTGGTGAGGAATTCAGATAACACAGGAATGAGTTCATGGCAAAGCCCAGGAGGAAATGACTCCTTCCATGTGCAGAGGAGGATCTGATGAGCGTGCAGTACGTGAGGCCACCAGCCACACGCTGAGCAAGGACAAGATATCACCCTGACTGGGGAACAGGAGCACTTTGGAGTCAGCCCCAAGCTCCACAAGCCAGTACGGCCCAGCTCACGAGGGTTTGGGTTTGTCACCTTCCGAGGCCATTCCTCAGGGTAGTTTTTGGGTTGTGAATTCCTTAATGTTTTTAAGTAGAATAAAAATTCTCACATGAAAATTGTTTTTTTTTTCAATCCCATTCCTTCCACGAGAAGAATTGTTTTTTCTGATCAGTTTCTTTCCCTTTACTTCAGTGTCTTGAAGTCAATCAGAGACAGAGACTTGGAATGGAAAATTTCTGTGTGGATAATTGAAGTTCAATTTAGTTTTGCACGCTAATGACAAAGGGGCTCTACAAAGGAAAACGTTGCTCAAGTTACGCATAAGTGCTGCACTGGAAGGTGTTTCCAAAGGAGCGGCGCTGACCTTTCCCAACGTGCTCCCTTCTTTCCTCGCCTTTATCCACAGAAAGGGCTTGGCCGTTCCGTCCCGTGCAGCCTCCCACCAGGTGCGGCACAGGACACGCCAGAGCTCCCAGTCACACGCAGCCACAGCCTGTGACTCGGGGCAGCTCGGGACGGTTCTGCAGGAACGGGACAGAACTCGGGAGCCCTGCGGGGGCAGCGCCGGGCCGAGCCCCTCCCGCGGGGATCCGAGCGCGGTGCCGGGCGGGGCACAGCTCTCGCACGGGCCGCTCCGCAAGGGACGGGCGTTTAACGCAGCGCCGTTATTCGTCCCGGCCGGGGGCGCGCGGGGCGGGCGCGGCGGGTGCGGGCCCCGCACGTGCGCGGGGCGGGCGCGGCGGGCGCGGCCCCTTTAAGGCGCGCGGCGGCGCGGGGCGCCCATGTGGAGGGCAGCACGCGTGTTGTGCTGCGCGCCCATTGGCTCGCGCGCGCTGACAGCGCGGCCCGGGCCGCGAGCGCACTGCGGGGGGAGCGCCGCCCGCAAAACGCGGCGCCCGGATCGCGCCGCCGCCGGATCGGGCCGGCGCCCGCCGCGCCCCGCGCCTCGCGCCCGCTCCGGGGCCGCCCGGGGCCGCGCCCGCCCCGCGCCGCCGGCGGAGCCGCGGGGCCTCCCCCGCGCGCCCCGGGCTGGGCCGGCCTCCGCGTCGCGGCCCGCCCCGTCCCGTCCGGGCGGCGCCCCGCGCTCCGCTCCGCGTCTTGGCGCCGCCCGCCGCGTAGTAGCGGGGCCGCGCCAGCGCCCGCCTGTTGTGTTTCTGTTGCCACCCGCCATCTTGTCGCCAGCGCTGCGGCCGGCGGGGCGAGCCCGGGGCGAGCGGGCGGGGCGGGCCCGCGCTCCGGGCGGCGGCGGCGGCGGTGGCGGCCGGGCCCGCGCCATGAGCATCGAGACGCTGCTGGAGGCGGCGCGGTTCCTGGAGTGGCAAGCGCAGCAGCAGCAGACCGCACGTGGTGAGGGGCCGCCCGCGCGGGGCCGCGCCTGACAGCCCCGGCCGGCCGGGCCGGCACGGGCGCGGGTACCGGGGCGGGGGGGCACCGGCGCGGGCTTTGCGCTGCCGGCGGGGCCCGGCCGGGGCGGCGGCGGCGGGGGAAGCCCGGGGCGGGCGGGGCGGTGACAGGGCACGGGGGGCTCGGGGGCAGCGCGGCGCGGCCCTTCGGGGGCTCCGTGCGGGGGGGCGGCCCCGACCGGCCCCGCTCCCGCCGGGGGCGCCGCCGCCCCCGCCCCGCGCGCTGCGTGTCCCCGGCCGGCGGGGGGGCGGGGCCGTGACGCGCCAGGCCCCGCCCCCCACCACGTGCGCGCGGCCCCGCCCCGCGCGGCCCCCCCGGGGCTGCGGGACCCGCCCGGGACCCCGGGACGGGACGGGGGAATCCCCGCACCGCTGTGTCGCCTCGGCGGTCCCGGGCCTTCCGCGAGCCGCGGCCGTGCCCCGGGGGCCGCCGCCCGCGCGTGGCTGCAGGAGAACAGCCCCGGCCGCGCTCCCGCGGCGGCCCCGGCGCGGGGACTCGGGTGGACCTGCGGGAGCGGCGCTTTGTGCCGCCGCCGCCGCCCATTGTGTCGGTGATGAGTCACGCAGCAGACGGGGGATGCGGGGCCGCGCAGGGCCGGCAGGATTCCCGAGCCCGGAACAAACCCCGGGATTTGGGGCCGCGCTCCCCGCCGGGCGGTGACAGCTCCGGCGCAGCCCCCGGCCCGGGACAGCCCCCTCGGCCCCGCCAGCCCCGTGCTGGTACCACCTCCGGGCTCACACCGGGTGGCTGTGCCCGGGGTTCGTGCTCTGCAGGGCCGTGAGTGGTGGCTCCTGCTGCCGGAGAGATTCCCACTGCGATCCGGCTGCCCTGCACTGTGGGAACATCCTGTGAGTGGGTGCGACAAGTGAGGGTCTGGGATACAGAGGAGCAGGAGGGACCTGGCTCATCGTGCTGGGCAACCTCTGAGGCAAGAATATTTGCTGAGTGGGACATGGGCGAGGCAACACTCCAAGGAAAAGACATCATGCAGGTTTCCCAGCTCCAGGAGAAGCTCACAGGGATGGGTCAGGATGTGGTGTTACACCAGAGCCTGCTGCAGGCAGGAGCTGCCAGGGTGAGCGTCTGGAGCCTGGCATAGCTCTCTCAGGCACTGCTGGGGGGCACAGGCCCCGTGCCCGCTGCACAGACATGTCAGGCCTGAGCTGGCTGCAGGAGTAGCAGCATCAGTGAAAATGTGGCCACGTCAGGGAAGTCAGAGCACCAGGAAGATGTGTGGCACGGGAGGGAGGAGCCCGGCGTGTGACCTTTGGGTGGCAGGAAGATGTCAGGGTAGAGCACAAGCAGAGGAGTAGCTGGGAAAGACTGGGAAGCAATGAAGTGTTCAGGGTTGGCTTCCTTCCCTTGCCTTCTTCCTCTCCTGCCCCTTCAAATCTGTGTTCTGAGAAGTGTTATGGTCTGCATTGCACCCCCAGTTACCCTGCAGAACTCCAGGGGTCCAGTCTGGCCTGAAAATCGTGCATGTTGGGAACAGCATTAAATGATGTAAACCTGAGCTGATCTAAGGTTGCTGGGGGTATCACACCTATAATACCTACACTTTTGGTTTTCCATACCTGGGAATAAATGGTGGGAAATGTCTCCCAATCAGCCAGACACTCATCATCCCATCCTTATGAAAAACAAACTGATAGAAGGAAAACCAGAAAGGCTGTGGAGGAAAGGAGAGCAGAATGTCTCAGGGAGGGAAGGTGGTCAAGGTATGGCAGGTCCCCTCTGTGGGGATCCCTGTCATGTGGAGCACTGCAGGACCTGCTCAGGAAAACATGGGGTGTGAGGCACAGCTCATCCCACCTGCCGGGAGCACCAGGGCCACCTCCAGCCAGCCAGAGCTGGTGGAGACTGTGCTCTGTGCAGTGTGGGACTGAGAGGGAGAGCTTTCGAGGAGAGGAGATGAAGAAGGATTCCTTGAAAGCAAACAGCATTTGGATCTTCACATTCTCCTTGTACTTTGGGAGGTCAGGCTGGCAGCTTTCATCGCTGCTTTGTCAATCTTTTTGCGGTTGATGGTTACTGGGGTGCAGCCTGGATGATCTCCAGCTTTGAGGTGCTGCTGGTGGGAGAGCTCAAGCCCTTGCCATGGTAGTGGGGTGCTGGTGCAGCACCATGGGCTGGTTCCCGTGAGCACACACACGTCTGAGCGGTGACGTCCCGTTCCCCGCCCGTCACCACTGCCTCTGCTCGGCTCTGGGCCGTGTCCCGGCAGGGACCAGCGTGGCTTCTCCTGCCCCTTCAACCTCTTCCACCAGTGGAAAATTAAACCGTGTAGGCTTTGCTTTTCTTAATTTATAACCATATCAAAGCTAGTTGTCTCAGCTTTCTGAGGGAGTTATTGCTTCGGGGAACTGTTTGTGACAATGATAGGGTTTTCTGGGGTGAAACCTGTCGCAGACCACCCTGACCCACAGCAGGGAGATCCAGGTGGTTCTTGGTGTGGAGCCCACCCCGTGTCACTGCTCCTGGCCCAGGGAATGCTAGAGCATGGTTCAAACTGCATTTACAAGATGTTTACCCAAAAGCCTATTGAATATTACGTATCATATGTATAAGTATTTCAGAAAACATCATCTCAAGTTTCTGAAAAAAGCAGAGTTGGGTACATCAGCTTGAGCTGTACCCATGAGAGTGACAGCTCCCAAGGGAATCATGATGTGGGGCCTTGGGGTGAAAGGGACTTGGGTGCCCTGGGGTCCTCGAGCTGAACCACTCAGTGTTGCAGCTGGGTTCAGACCTTGCTGAAACACTTGCTGGAATTGGAAGGATGCAGCACAAGTGGTTGGTTGTTGTCTTCCAATAAGCTGGGAGGAAAAATGCAGGTGACAGGCTGGGTTAGGGGGAATGGTTTGCTTTGTAGTGACACAGCTGCCCATATACATCTACAGAATCCTCACCCGACACTTCTACAACATAAACATTGACTTAAAATAGTAGGTTTTGGGCTCTTTCTCTTGTGTGCTCATTGCACACCCCAGTGTGATCCTGTGTGTGTGCTGGGGTTTGCTGGATGCTTCCTGCTGGGCCTGTGTGACTTGGAGAGTTTCTTACAACTGGACGAATTTTCTGTAGATTTGCAGAGAAATGTAACAGAAATGAAACTGCAGTGGTTTGGCTCCTCATCTGTACTGTGTGTGTGCTCAGCAAACCCATTCTCCTACATGGTGACAAATGTTCTGTAAATGATGGTACCAGTAATATCGTTATTTGGATGTCATTAATTTGTGGGAAACAAACCAACAGCTGTGGGGAGGTGAAGGGAACAGCTGATGTGATGCATTTCTCTACTGTGAACAGCATGGGGATGCAGACAGCGACACACACTGTGGGGGCCACACACCAGCATTTCTGGTGGGTTTGGGGGTCAGGATGCTGAAGCACTCTTGTCCCCACCTGTGTTCATGCTTCACAATGCTGCTGCTGCTGTTTGCTGTAAGCACGTGGCTCCCAGGCACGTAAACTCATATTTACACAGCACAGACCCACAGCCCAGGGTCCTTCCTCTGTTACGTGCAAGCTCCAGAGACACTGGACTTGAATTACAGGGTGGCTGATTTCTTTGACTTTAGGTTAATCCAAGAATGTTTTGTGATCTAAGAAAAACAAATTTCTTTATAATTGCAAGTAACTAATATTTGTTTTCTTAGGGTTTTTCCCACAGATGCTCATCTGTGAGTGCTCAGCTTGCGCTCGCCGCTCTCCCGGTGCTGCAGTTCCTTCACACCGTTCCTTCCCCGGGCAGAGCGAGCGCGGGCAGTGACCCTGCAGCAAGCACAGTTATGGGCTTTTCCTTCTCACAGACTGCCATTTGGGCACTCTTCTTAATTGCCTGGCAGTGATAACAAGGTGTGTGGTGACCAGAAAGGTTTCCTTTGGCTGTGGTGCCGCCTGCCTCATGCTGATGGGTGAGGAAGAGAACCTGCTCACACCCAGCCTCTGTGGTCGGGCACTGGCTCGGTGCTGTGCTCAGTGAGGTCCCCCACTGGTGTCTCTCAACAGGTCTTGGCAATGTGATGTTGGGATGCATCTTTTTGCCTGCTGCTGGTTTCTGTCTCCCCAGGGTGCACGTGGATCCCGAGCGGCTCCAGGGGTATGTGGCCATGTCCTTAGCCACTGCTGGCTGCTGCAGGCAGCACACCCACCTGGGTTTCTTTCAGGGGAGGTTAAAGCACCTCCCAACAA